GGATTTGTTTTCTATACTTGATTTTTTAATGGATTAATTTATTTTAACTATCTATGGGGTATTTTAAATTGTTGATGGGGTTTCTGATTTTAACTGTGAGCTGTCCAGAGTCACCCGTTGGGGGGAGATGGGCGGCATACACATTTAATCATGAATGAATGAATGAATGAAATCTTTTATTCCATTTTATTTTATTTTATTTTATTTTATTTCATTTTATTTTAGTCTTTTGGACTGGGGCTTTATGGCTGTTATTTTATTAGTTTTGTTTTTTTAGTCATACTGTGGATGTTTTAATTTTTTTATATTAAATATCATGTAAGCCACCGAGAGTCTTGGATTGTGGCAGGATATAAATACAGTAAACAAACAAACATAATATTCTCTTCATGGTTAGACATTTGGGAATGTACTAATTTACCTCCATAAAAAATTCAGCCCTTTCTTTGTTCCAAAAGTACCACTGTGTTCAGAGGGTCTTACTCCTGCTGCAGTCCTTGTCTGACAGTTTGATTAGAGGCAAATGCACAAATTCATCATATAAACATCAACTTCGATATGTTAATGTTCCCCCTCCCCTGATAGCACAAGTTACAAAATTGTATTTTCATTCTCTCCCTGATTTGTTTTCTTGATTGTATTACTTCACCATTAGGGCTGTGCAAGTCCTTTGAAAGAGTTCACTGCAATATATAGGAGTGGGTAAGAAGCAGCTCTCATTAAAGCTGCTGCATCTTTTCCCAGGCTCTTTGTAAATTGTCCCCAGCTGTCTCTTTACTGATGTGATGCACAGCCATTTTCCATTTTTCCCAGCAAAACATCTCACTCTTAAGAATTGTGTTTGAAACCATTTCTTTCTTTCCTCCTTTTTAGCTAATGGAAATCCCTCACCACAAAAGGGATCAGATAACTTACAGAACTCTGAATATATTTGGGAAAGCAAGATTAGTTGTTATTTTCTTTAATTAGCAAAACATATGGTTCATGGATAATCCCAAAGCCTTGTGTCTATTAGTCTGTTATATATTTGTTAATATTACCATACACTTCCTCCTTCTGGTAAGCTGATATTTAGCCTGCATCAAAAATATTCCAAGAATTCCCTATCTGGTGGGTCTCCTCATCAACCCACCAAATGGTTTCTAAACGTTATCGAGAAATGTCTGAAAGCCTGGTAAAATCTTCATGTGTTCAATTTCCTTGCTGGATTGTATTGTTCTAATTTAACTATTAACTTTAAAATCTCACATTTTTGTTATCAACTGGGGTACGTATACTTAGAAGTGTAATTGATGGCAACAGAACTTACTCCCAAAGATGATTTTTAGGGAGAAATTCTACTTCTTCAACTGATGCTGTGTGATAGGCATGTTCCTTAATGACATTTTTACATTTCTGTAATAGGAAAAGCATTGTTAATTTCTTCCTTTCTTCTTGATCCAAATATGAAGGCTGAAGATCTTGCTAAGTCTCTCCCTCCTTCCGGGAGTGCTTTTATAAGGGGAAGAACGTGAAGGTGTTCTGGAAGTTGGCAAGCAGACACAGCTTATTTCCAGAGCACCAGTTTGCTTTGGGCTTTCTAAGAAATTGATTTCATCCTGAGTATGTCAGTACATTGCATGTACTTCCTAGCTGGTGAGATGCACACACACTCTTGAAGTAAACTGGCTTTAAAACATTTTAAAAATGTTTACCCAATACTGTCCTTACCATTAATAAGGAATGCTGCATGTGGCAGAAACCTGGTAACCTAGACTCTTCCCTTCCCTGTTTTACTAAATAGGGATATGTAAAAGCTGACCAAAATCATGATGGGCAGCTGGGATCCATATCTATGGGCTATCTGGCAAAGATCATGGCATATGAAATAGATATGATTTGGAATGTAAGAAGGGTAATTCGTAAAAATGGGGAAAATAGATACAGATGTCATTGGTCCACCAAACTAACAGAAAAGGGAAGGAGATAATAGATCTGAATGAAAGTGTTCTGGTCCTGTGGAGTTGATGAATACATGAAGGGAAATGAAGATATAGGCTTATTTATGACCATACAGCTGAGCCCTGCAATGATATCATTGTGCAAACTCCTCTTTTACGTTCCTGTGTTGTGACAAATGCTGCAGGGCAGGATCTGCATAGTGATATCACTACATACACACAGCTTCTGCAAAGGCACATTTTGTTCCTTGCTTGCCAGCAAAAAACAGGTCAGCCAGCCCAACCAACCTGTTTTCTCTCAGTTACCAGCCAAAAGCAGAGAAATTGTTCCTGAACTATTTTTTAACAGCAAGTGATGAATAATTAAAAGCACCTTGCATGAGGGTCATCTTTCTCAGGGTCCTTCCTGAGATTGCTTTTTATTATGTTCCTATTACAGTGGTACCTCTACTTATGAATGCCCCTACTTACGAAATTTTCGAGATACGATCAGCTCTGGCCCCAAAAATGTACCTCTACTTACGAATTCGCCTCGACTTACGA